TATATATATAATATATAATTATATATATGTATTATACATATATATATAATATATATTTATACATTTTATATTTATATTATCGACAATATATAGGAGCACATATAGGAGCATTTTAGGAGTTTTTTATATTACCGAATTATATTATTATAGTTACAATATTCATCATGTTTGTCAGATTCATGTCATAAGAAAAGATGTTTCGTTGAATTGCTTTATAATAAAGTGACAACTTCTAAGACATACTTGAGGAAATTATTTACTTGGAGAGAGTATATTCATTGCATTTGATTTTTTCAATATCGCAATAAACATCAAGTAACAAAGTGTAATGTTATTTATCCTCGTTTTAACATCAAAATGACATCTTTTATGATATTTTAACATAAATAATGACATAAATAATAACGTTAACTTCCTGCGCGCCTAGATTATTTTATCAAAATTTATCCTTTTTTCGTTTTTATTTAATTAATACAGCAAGCGCGATCGACAGCCGCTTATAGTTATCGTTAGCACAGCGAATTAATTAAAATATATGTATATATAGAAATTTATATTACTATTTTTCCATGTCCATTCAAATTTTTTATTTGAGAAAATTAAGTAACTCGTTGGCCACACTCTCTCCAGTCCCAACTTTGACTACGACAAATATGTATTGACAGTAAACGAATAATGTTTTAATTTAAATAGCGTATACAACGAATAATGTTTTAATTTAACGCAATCTGTGATTTGATTTAAAAAAAAAATATCGATAAAATGACCGTCTATTAATGGATATCCTGTATAATTTTCCCGCACATTGAACTTTTAGTCGTATCTTATACACGGACATAAAACTTATACAAGATAAAACGATTTCTGGATGATCTTATTATAATTAGTCGGGTAAATGATAAAAAAAGCTTTGTTGAAATAAATTTATAAAGAGAGACATTTATTCGAATAACACTAGTACTGTCGTTCTCCTAAATTGAGATACATATAAGATCACATGCCCTGCAGGTGCTGATAACGAAGCTTTGGTCTTCTAATAACGTGGAGACGCAGCAATATCGAAAAGCCAGTAAAGCTCTCTTGGTATTGATACCACTTCTAGGAGTGACATATGTGTTAGTCATAGCTGGACCTACTGAAGGCCAAGTCGCCAATGCATTCTCTTATGCGCGTGCGATTCTGCTTTCTTCGCAGGTAAAAATTATTTAAAGAATATGAAGAAAAAACATAAGCCATCAAATTTAAGCGATAAACAAATTTATCAATTATATTCAAACATTTTCAAGAACTGTAGTACAATTTTGTCGTGTCTGCAACTTTCCTACGACACAGTAATGTATAAGCTCATTATTCTAAAATAAATCAATCACAATTTCATTATTATACTAGGATAATGTTTGAGAAATAAATTCGCTTATTTTCTAAAAGCTATATTGCGAAAGGACGAAAATGAAGATAAATAAAGCAGAGAGATAGAGTAATAGAATGGTTTATACAACTTTAGCAACAGACATAATTCGACACTCATTGATCGCTCTAGAAATGAGATAGAATCTCATTCAACTCTAGAGAGAACTGATTCAATCCAAAAATTCTTTTATCGTGGCGAAAAGTGATTTCTCGCAATCGAAAATAAAAATAAATGTAATAAATATAATTTCTATCTTTTTTCAGGGATTTTTCGTGGCGTTGTTTTACTGCTTTCTCAATACTGAAGTACAGAATACAGTTAGGCATCATTTCGCACGATGGAGCACTACGCGAAATCTTGAGAGCCGTCGGAGGTATTATAACAATTGGTCCCCTCGTTCAAGAACGGAGAGCATAAGGTACTCGTTTTACGTGTACCTTATGTTAAAAATATCTTCACACATATATATATATATATATATAT